CCTAAGAGGGTCCGGGGAGGAACGTCCGAGAACGATAAGCGCGGATATGAAGAAGGGCGCTGGCGGCTTCGACAAATAAAATCTGAACAACCTGCTGCTCCGTTGTTTATCGAAGGATACTCACGGCATTAACGGTGGAGAGACTAGGCAAGGGGTAGAGAAGCAGAAGAGAGGTTGCGGGCAAGACTAAATATGCCGCGATAACGCAACGACTGCCTGATGGTGTTAGCGATCTTCCATTTCTTTTTTCATTTTTTTATGAGTAACTCTTTCCTCGTTGATAGATTTATACTTCGGCCTTGTTTCAGACAGAATTGTGTATTTAAGCTTTAGGTCTCTGACGAGAGAATATTTATAATAGTCCTTGTAAATATCCTGATGTAGGAACATAATTTCATTCTATTATAAATTTGTACGATAATACGCTACGACATTTTAACTCTCTAAATGTGAATCATTGGAGAATCACTGATTACCTAGTGACATACTTGGCACTTGACAATCAGTAAAATTTAACTAAAAAAATTCTTTGTTTAATGTCATAAAAAAATTGAGCATTTATATATAATTAAAATACCGATATTTACACGTTTTAGTTCCAATATCATATACATCGAATTTATATACTAAAGCAAGATTAGCTAGATTAGGGATTCCACATTTCATTCACTGGTAACCAGTGGCATACTTAGGACTGATTATCAGTAATTCAGATTTAGAGAGAATATTTGTGAACTAACATATTTAATTATATCACTATTTCACTACTAGAATATAACTTTTTATTTTTATTTTATTACTATTTTATATAACTTTGTACTTATGAAATGCCATAATAAATAATTACAGATATGACAATTGTACCAGTGCGTCAAGACATGACATTGTGCCTCGAGTTTTTTTAAGCGATGAAAGTTTACAACAGAAATTTCGGAATTCACGGTTTCACAGTATCCACGATGAAATAAGATTAAACGCGGCGGCGAGGAAAAGTCGAGCCGCAAGAAGCACGCCGGCAGCCAAGATTCGCCGCAGCGCGATGTAATATAAACGTCGTAAAATAAGGACCAGGTGAATCGTATAATTCGGCGGGGGACCCGACTTCAGAGTAATTCTCACCCGTATACACCGACGTTGCCCCGTATACATTACCACGAGCCACTACGTACGACAACCGCATTGCCACACGTGCTGCTTATATCGTTCCGGAATATAAAGGGGGAGACCGGAAAGGACGAACTTGGCGCTATATAGGAATAGAACGCAGTCACATCCGATTCCTACGTTCTGCTCTATTTTCTTTCATCTTCAAGACACCATGGAAAAAAGGAACTATTCTCCAAATATGTTAGACAGTTAAAGTCCGAGGTTATGAATGCCTGCTACTAAAACAGTACATCGTTTAACTTTCTGTATATACCTCTTACGACATGCGGTTCATTCCATAAAAAATACTTCCTTTTTGAAGTTTGTATTATTAAAATCAATTATTAATGACGCTAAGATTTATACAATGTATAAGTCTAAAAATTAAAAAGAGGTTTTTGGGTTCATAAAATAAAAATTAACGAAAATAAGTAAGAATTCATAAGACCCTAGCAGGTTCTTTGTTCTAATGAAAATTGTATGTTAAATATATTGAAAAATTATATAAACGATCTTTCTTATTTAATCGTATTACAAAGTCATAAGCTTTCAACGTTGATGTTTTGTCGATATATTTCAATATTAATACATTATTTAAAATAATTTTGAAAATTAAAAGCTTTGGCTACAATATTAAATTAAGATACTATACATATAACATATATTAATATAAAACAAAAGAAAGAAAGAGATAAAAAAACAAAGACCATTGAACGCTTAAAAAAATCCATTTATTTTAATGTTGGAAGAAGAACTTTGTCCTTTTTCTCTTTTGTGGTTACGAAGTAAATTTCATCTCCTTTACAAGCGGTAATCCACTACTGCGAAGTAGTACAACTTTATGGAAGAAAATAGTCGACGTTAGAAGGTTCCTCGCTTTCAAGGTTCTTCAGAAAAATTTATGTTCTCAAAGCCCTCGAAATAAACATCCAGTAGTCGAGTGCGGTAGCTAGGAACCAAAAACCCATTGACCGCGTTTGTATACATAAACGTCACGACCTATGATGCTACTTAGTCTACAACGTGGTCAGGTCTACCTGCATATCTTTCTTACAAACATCACTTCATCATCTATTCAAATCTGACAAACTTCTTTCTTCATTCGATAGAATAAAAAGTTCTTATCTACAAAAATAAATACATCTTAAATGTAACGTAATAAAAATGATAAAGTAAAATGGTACGTTCGGGGAGACGCTAATAGCGCTACTTCTGTTATTCTATCTTCGTTGTTTATTAGACGTAAAACAAGGATAGAATGATACAAATAGCGCTAATAGCGTCTCCCTGAACGCACCTAAAGACTGTCAAAGCAACTCGTATCATTAATACATGTCAAATTAATTTCTATATAAAAATAATTCAAATAATTATATATTGAAAGAGGCGATCAAAGAGCTTGTTCATCAATGATTCGCGCATGGTGATACATCGATGGAATGAGGGTGAGGAAAAAGAAAGAATCTCACAGCCCCCGCGTCTAAAACAGTATTTCATAGATATAGCCGATGAAGCCTCCTTGTGGCCGGCAAATATAATAAACTTAGGGTCCATATATCCACGCTTATGGTGGCTGATGGCAGATCCCAAGAAAAAGGAACATCTCGCTGTGTATCCGTAAGGAAAAGGGGGGAGAATACCCCGGCTATCGTCATATTTTCTGATTTTCCGCCAATAAACCCCATTACTATTTATCAGACTAATGCGTCCTTATAACTCCCATTAACAACAATCTATACGCTCTAACGCATTAGCGGCCCGGTACCCGCACCATCGCCAAATTTATTATTAGATGTGGAAGAACCGTTACGCTTAATTGCATGTAGGTTTGTTCTCGAACTTTCGGTGGTCGAAAGTCATACAGGACCCTCCGGAGAAATTATATCGATATTATAAGGTCGTGCTATTCTCCCCAGCCAGAGAAGATAGAAAGCGAGGTTAAACATGTAGTATTAACTGTTCGATACTCAGAGAGAATAAGATATTTGTTAGTGTTGAGAATTGAGGTAAAAATAAATTCAATAAATAATTAAACGGTCAAGAAGGAATTATTGTGTTAATTATATATTGATATAATTATGAATTAAATATGTAATATAATTATTGATATGACCCCACTGCATAAATTATAAAGATAATATTCTTCTCTCTAGATATTATTATAATTAATAATAAAATTAGGATTTTCATAGTTATTTTGAGTAACTATAAATACAGACAAAAACTTTTAGTCGCAAAGTAATCATTCAAAATCCTCAACAATTCAGCAAATATGTTGTAGCATAGTGTCCATTTCCATTAAAATTAACGAAACAAGAGTCATCTCATAGTCCAAGAAACCACCCTTTAGCTTCGTGTCGTATAATTAAATGTCAGGATCTAAATTTATCGTTCCGTAAGAGAAGATACTTTCGGAAATTACTCAGCTTACGGGTAACTGTAAAGTCTCGCTTGTACGAGATCACTATTATGTAAGAATCTCCCGTTCTCTAATCGGAATGTTAAATTTTAATAAAAGTACAACCAGTTCCCTTTTAATCCGTCTTAATCAGAAAAGATAGTAATTTTAATACATAACAAAAAATGTATGCGTTCGTTTTAAATATATTTTCAGCATTAAAACATTCAATCCTTTCGAGCTATTTTTCCAGTCGCCACTCAATCACCGCGATTTAGTCGTGATTTATTCACGTAAATTCTATCGTTCTCTCGCCGTGAAGAGGAATTAAACGACGGAGGCGACGTGAAAACTCGTTCGATGAGAGCAATATCGTCCGTTATTGGTAGGCACCAGCGTTAACGCCGGCGACCGAACGGGGAACGAAAATGAGAGGAGAGAGGAGAGAAAAAAAGCAGCGTGAAAGAGGCGAGAGATAATTAACGAGAAGCGAGTACACAATATCTTTTCCCAAACGGCTCGACGCGAACTGCACACTTGTTGCTTATCTGCACTTCGGCGTAGACATGTCGGTAACGGGTTAGGATAACATGTTTAACACGGCAGATAGCTACTTATCAGTCGCTCTCTCTGTTTGTCGTGCACCATAAAGTTATAAAGTCCAGACGATGCGCTGTCACGGTGTACTATAAATTACGAACCTCGTGTCGTTTATGAAAAAAAAGAGAGAAAAACGAAAAGAAAAAAAGGAATAAGGAACGTGCGTACCCTCTGTACGCCCGGTCGTCTTATCGGCACGATAAACACCGACGACGGATTCGTTGCACCTTCCAACGGACTTTAAGTTCGTGCGTAATTACTTAATCGCGGGGAAATTACAAGGGGAGCGCATAACGGCTTGATTATAACGCGTAGAATCATTTAGTACTGTACATCACGTATACAAAATGTCCCAGGATCTCATTACCTCATCAACTTTATCAATGATTTCTTTCCTGAACCAATTTGAAACTGATTTTTCTTAAGTATTGAGCGTAATTTAGAGTGTAATTAAAATATTGATTTGTCAACAACTCATAAAACTCAAATTTATATCTGTTCTTTAAATAACAACATCTTTTAATACACAAATATTGAAGCGACAAGTAAATACATTACTACAGCCATAATTCGACAGTCATTTCGGTGAGATAAGTAATTTCCTGGAGAGATATATATATATATATATATATTTTCGGGAATCCCCATCACGGATGAGGCTAACTACCCTTTGTCTTCTGCGTTATAGAAGTACGGCGGCAACGAGTGGCCATTTTAACCCCTTTTCCTTGCGAGACATAAATAATGATCGTCGCTAATTTGGCTCCGGTGCAGCCCTTGGCCGGTAGCGAACGTAAACCGCGCAATTATAATGCCGCCACATTAGAATTTATTCCCACGGCAGCCGGCAGCCTCTCCTCCGTAACCTTTTTCTAAAGCTTACGTACTTAATCCGGTTGAAATATTTTTTCCCGTGGCTTCGCCGTCGGATATCGGCCTCGGATTTTCGTTGGAACTTAAACCATTTAATTAAGTCAGGACAACCGGATAGTACGTCGTTCGCTACGGAGGCAAAAGAAGAAGGAGTCGCGAACAAGGACAAAGCAAGAATTATTTGAAAGTACTAGTGAATTATTCTCCTCACTGTTTAATCGATGATAAATCGCTAATAGTAATCCTTTTAACTATAAAATCTTTTTCTTTTGCAAAATAAAATAATTTTATTTAAAATTCCAAAGATGCGGAAAATGAAATCATCACATAACATAATAATTATAATTACTACTTAAAATAGTTCTTACCTTTTCACTGAATCTGTATGTCGTAAAGCTGATATAAGTATCACAACGTCCCATGACAGATCGTTCGGAGTGGATTGTTGCGCAAACGTCATCTGCAACAAATGAACCATTCGGTTTTTTTTTTTCATCGTCACGTGTCGTTCGAAATGTAAAAGTAAACGAGCAAAATCACCACGGTGCAAAAATGTTTTTCGAGAACCGGATAGATTCGCGCGCGCAGCTGGTACGCAGATACAACGATCTCCATTATATCGAAATCCGGAATTTCACGCGGCCGAACGCGGCTTGAACTTCCACTATACGTTCGCGCGGGGCCTCGACATATTCAGCCAAACGCGCGCACACGCGCACGTAAAGGTATGTGTGCGCGCAAACGTAGCGGCGCGCGGCTTTTCCGCATTGTATTCGGGGAACAAGTAATTGGATGCCGTGCGAGAGATTTGCGATATTTCTAGTGTGTAATGCGCGGCAATACGCGCAACGTTAAATCAAATCCAATTCGAGCTCTCGCGCGCCGTACGGCGCGGCATGGAGTGGCACCTGACAAACTCATTGGTCTGACAAATTGAATCATTCGCCGTTCAATTGCTTCGTGCGGATATACACGCGCGTGGAGACGAACGCGTGCGCGCGGGCGCAGGAAGGTGCGTGCGTGTGCGTTGCGTGAGCGGTCGGATTGTGTGTGCGAGTGCGGGTACGGATGCGGGACCGTCGAGTATCTGGTGTCCGCTGTTTGTTGCCACTCTACTGCATCGCCGTCAATGTGTCGAAACCACCCCTTCGCCCTTCTACGTAATACAGTGACGTTGAATTAACTCGCGATCGAACGTGCAACTTTGAAATTCATCTGCGAAAAGAACAGCTGCTTGCGTCACTTTTCATCGTATTAGTCCTCATTGCAATAAAATTATACTTAATAAGATACATTTGTAGAAAAGTAAGAACTTGTCGCTTCTTTCACTAATATTTTTATTTTATATTCATTTGTATTCAACACTATATTAATTTCGTTTAAGAAAGGACTCCATCCTAGAGCTCATTAAATGGTGATATTTCTCTCTTTCTCTCTCTCTCTCTTAATATTTTTGTAATCTCAGGCATTTACGTGTTCTAAATAAAATTTCTGCAAACGTTGATATCACGTAAATTAAAAAATATATTTTTTTTATAAATGCATATATTGATATTTTATTATTTATATAATACGTGTTTTGCATTCGTGGAATCGAATGCACGCTGCGGTGAATAATTAACCGCGTCCACGCATACGCGATGAAAATTCACAAAATATATGCGCGTGCAAACGCATCAGGACGCGGCAATAATCATCCCCTGGTCTCTTCGATTTTTGATGAGAAAGGAACCGCGGTGCACGGCCATTCGATCGCGGCGTTGCGTAAAATCCGAATCGATCCATTCGATACACGAATATGGAGAGACGGAGAGAGACAAAGAGAGAGAGAGAGAGAGAACGCGCGCGGAACGCATGCAGAATGCAGGGCGGCCGCATACGTGAAGCGACGAGGCGTCGGCCGTGTGACGCGATCACACGGTGTGCGATGTGTGAAATGGAGCACGATCCCCTCTCTCCGGTAATTATATGTATCCTATCCCGAGTCGCTATCTCGCCTACCGGCGGTCGAACCGGCGCGGTGCGGCGCGGCGTGACGCGGCTCGGTGCGTCGAGCACGAGCAGTGCATCGATGGCATGGCGTAGCGGCGTGACACAACCGCCGGCTCCTGTCTCCCGGACTCGCACAGACCGAACGCGTCGATCCCCCCAGCGTGGCGATCCCCGGATGCACCGCGTGCGTGAGCATCGTCCACCCATCGACTGCATCATCATCATTCCCTCCCTTCCTCCCCCTTCCCTATCTCTGGTCTCGCGCGCGTTATTCGCTGTCCCGCATGGACCACTGATCCTTCGTTTCGGTTTCGGAACGCGTACCACATCGTGCATTGTCCATCGATCTTTACGATCGATCCACGACGCGCGAATACCAAGCGCGATTTTTGAGGGTGGAATTCGACGCGAGTCCGTTTGTACGGTCGAAAGGGATTTTATTATCGGACGCTATAATGTCGATTGGCAACCGTTTCGAAGATGTATGGGATGACATTTCAGTTGATATTCGTCGTAACGTTCCACTTGGCCTTTTTTTTATGCCTTTGAATTCGATATTAGAGTCATCAACCGTTTTAGGTACATATTAAGGCAGGAATGAATACGAAATGAGCAGAATATATGTAATAAATAATATCAATAAACTCGGTACATAAATTTATAATCATAATTAATGTGATATCTTTTGTATAATTATTATAGAAAGTTTAATCTCCTGATTAACATAATACGAAGCATGCACTGTTAAATTTATAATGACAAATTACAACAATATGAGTTATTTTTAATTATTTCTATAGGCCGCTATTACTCCTACTTAATATGACGTTAATTTAAATACACACCACGCAGTTAAACAATTTAACGGAAGAAAATGTATTAAATTTGACTCAAATTTAGTTTATTATTTATTAAGTGCACAGTAGCATGGACGTTTATTTATTCTGAAACTAATCACAGAAATAGATTAAATTACATTTTAATGGAAGTTAAAAATAACAAAATGTTTTTTTTTTTTAACTCTGGGATTGGGTTCTGCCCATTGCTTTTTGATATCTAACTATGTGTTAAGGCATTTCGATGCGTTCGAAGATCTGTGACCATCTTAAATTTATTTATCTCTCGCGCGTAACGAAGCACCTCCAGTAGTAATTCTGTACATGTCCGTCATTATCTCGATTTGTGCAGGCTATGTTTACGACGGTGATATCAGTCCGAGACTGTAATCGGCGTATCGTTAAGCGGCATCAACGAAAATGACGATGCGCCTCGATACGTATCGGGCCGCGCGACGCGCGTAATGACAAGCGCAAATGCACGTAACATCGGCGGTGCACGCTACACCGGATATCGCGTAGCCGGGCACACACGTGCGCCGGCGATGTTCCGAGGCGGAACGATTTCGCAGCATCGAATTGCGCGGCGCCGGCTGCGCGTGCAATAGCCGCTTATTGCACAAATCACACGCATTATTGACTGCTATTGTACCTCTTCGGCCGACGAGCCATTGCATTGTTCGCGTATTGCGTGCCCCTTCCTCCGGAATAAACCGATAAACTTTACCTCTCTCGGAGATATTTGAATGCAGCGGCAAGTTAATTCAATGATATTAAAATATTTCAAGAAAGTCTTTTATATATTTTTTATTATATATTAGTTTTATGGAAAAAAGAAAGCTGTATTTTAAAGATTAATTGTAGAAGACTGATTTATTATTAATCCCCTTAATCACCGCAATCAAAAAATATCCTAATTTACTCGTATGGATATCTTGAACTCGAACTTTTTTTTCTTGTATCTTCCATAAATTTCAATGGATTTTAATTAATTTTTTTTTAAACGCTGAACTGTAGTGTTCAAATCTGTAAATAAAAAAAGATTTCGAAGAATGTTAAAAGTTATGTCCAAAAACGTAAGGAAGAGTTTTACAGAAATGTACGAACTAAAATATTCGTTCGGATCCAAAAGGTTCAGTGTTGTAGTTGACGGTTAAGATGACTAGTAGATTATTATAGAACTTGTGTCTGTTTTAAAAGTTAGGATCAATTCCGTGACTTAGTCAGCTATCCTTTTAGTCGCATAGAACAGAACTTTATACAAAGACGACGCGACGCGCTGTTATAAATGTCAGATGGTAGCACTCGAGCGATCGGAGCAGCGCTGCAGCGCGAGAGACGTGTCATGCAAGTTGATCGTAAAGCCGGCAGGAGGTATCGTTCAAGTAAATAAATCTTCATGCCCGGGACTACTTTCTCGAAAGAAAACACGGTGGGAGGCAGGCAGTTCATCTGACTTGTAGGTCGAACGGTAGGATCGACGGCGTCGATGGATCGAGTGCCCTTTGAGTGCTCTCGTCTCGGGCTTCAGGATATCTTCGAAGGGTCGAACGGGAGCCGTTCGAGGTCCGCAGGTCAGACACTCCTGAACGGATTTAGGCAGGAAAAGCCTCGCGGCAGGCACTCGACTCGGCCACAAACAGACGCGAGGCGTGCTGGCGCCAGTCTGGAAAATCGAAGGTCCTGGATGACTCGGAGACCACCGGGACGACTCCCTTCTCTCCATAGGGTGACCACCCTACATGTATACATCCTACAAGTCTCGACGATACAGATGTTCCCGTATGTCACAAGGATTTTTCCGTAACCACGACGGAAGTTTTCTCGCGATACCGGGCCACCTTACATCTGTTTAGACTCGTTGACAAGCTTTTTATAAGGAGAGATAGGTTTATATTCTGTGGCGGGTATGCTGCAAGGAATAACGCAAGTTGTATTACGTCTTTCGTCCATAAATTGAACTTATTTACTTAAGCGATACTTTACAGTTATGATACGCAAAGAATATAACAATAATTTGTGAGGTATTTTCGTAAAGAGATAGATAGGTATTTTTTACTTGTATATTTTACCTAAATAAATATATATAAGTATAAGATATATATATATAAAATATAATTAAAACAGAAAATTTTTAATATGAAATAAAATTTCTTGTTACATTTATATATAATGATACCTTCTATTTATTTTTTCTTTTTTTTCTTTCGATTATTTTCTATATAATCTCGACAAGAATCTGTTCCATCACGGTGAAGCGCAATACTAGGCACAGTAACGGGTTAAATAAACACCGCGTAATTTCAGGAACGTTTCCTAACGACGTTGCATCTGGTGTACGCGATCTTGTGTAAACAGACGGGATCGAGACGAGCCACTCGAAACGTTCGCGAAGGGTTGCTAGTTTTCTTAAGTCAACCAATGAAGGCTCCGCGCTCGTTTGAGCCAGGTTGAGGTACCACTCGACATTGATTTATCCCAACTCGTAATCTGTATGGACGTGTTTCTTCGGAACACAGCGCCAGTAGTGTCGTTGACACTGTGTCCTAAGATTATCGTTTTACTCCTTCTCATGAAACGACAAGATATTATTCTCTTTTTAATTTATGAAATTGTATAGGATCAAAAGAATTAAGAATTTCTTTTTCTAACATTTGCCGATATCGTACTTCATCGAACGTTACCGGAAAACGATGTTGGTAGAGCTGGAAAGCAAGACGGCGGATTGGACGCAGTCGGACGTCGTCGAGAAGTGCCGTAGAGTCACAGCAATTTTTGACACCGTCGTAAAGCCGTCAACTTCCGCATATGTATTCGGGGGAGGAGGGGGGAGGGAGGAGGGGAAGGGGATAGACGAGGAAGCGGATGGAGCTATGACCCCGGCTCGATTCGCACTAAACTGTATCCTGTAATTCGGCGGGTTAGTGTTCGCGGCGCGGCGCGGCGCGGTGCGGTGCGACGCGGCACGAAAAATTCCAGGTCGCGCTAATAAACTAAATACGGCATCGGAAATGAGAGACCGCGGGTGTATTATTTATACTCGCGCGCTTCTATGGTGCCGACGGCGGCTTTAATGTGCTGGAGCGTTGCTCGCCGCGCTCTCGCAGTTTATACAACGCAATAACGTTATTAGGTGGCTGGCATCCGGTATAAATTTCACCACCACCATCGCCACCGCCACCACCACTACCACCAGCACCACCATCGTCACAGACCACGCCGGCCACCGTCGCCACCAACACACACTGGCGCTCGCCCCATCGCGAGCCATCGTCGCCGCTCTTCGCCACTCTTCTCCTCTTCATTGTTGTCGCCCTTTTCCCGCCACTGTTGCCGCCGATGCGACGCGATGTATCCGCGCTCTCCTGTCGCACAGAGTTAAAGCATGGCGTCCTTATGGGCTCGAAACTTTGTCGTCGATGATTACATGAACCGTCGACTGTATTAATTACGGAACAGCTGCGCGCGCTTGGTGTTTTCGGCGTCACCGCTCTGTTTAGCGTTGAATAAAACTAAACTGCGGTATACGGGAGCAATCCAGGCGATAGAATCGCTTCGCGTAAAACGGGTGAATTTAATGCCATTGCGTTTTGCTGGACGGTGCTGCTTTTACGAATTCGCGAGAATTTTTTTACGTTAAACTAATATCCGAATAAAATGTAAATTTCCTTTGTTGCGTAATATTAAATGAACGACGCAAAAATAATTTCCAGGGTTGATATCCCGCGGCGGGAAGCGCTGGTATTTTTTTGTCGACCCACCGTAACCGATAATACCATTGGCAGTCCGCTATAAATACCGCTCGAAACGTCATTATTAACGTTTGCGACACCAATGCATCCGTCCTCATTTCTGCCTGTCGCCCTTCCACCGTTACACACCGACGCAAATGCGGCAACGTATTCCCCGATTGCAATTGCAATATGTTAAAGCATGTTTTTATGATTTCAAAAATTTGTCGTTGGAGACTACATAACCCGTTAGCCGTATTAATTATAGAGCAGATGCGCCGCATTTTGAAATGCACATCGAAATTATTTCATGCGCATTTCATGAGCGTTATGCGCGAAGCGCCGGCGAATTTTTGAGTACTTAACTCAATTACCCGATTAATTCAATCGCGCGAGCATGAATGCAGCGCGGGAAGAAGCTCGTATATTTTTTTCCAGAGGCACGTACCGCGTGTTTCGAACACTGGGTGTTCGTTGTTTTTTTTTGTTTTTTTTTTATTTATGAGCGCGATTATCGCACACTTGAAATCAGGCATCCTCTTATTACGTGTCGCGTATGCGACAAACAACGATTTGGCAAATTGCGGCATACGTTTTCTGCGAAAACGTTACAACACGAATTATTTTGTGCCGTTAGTGCATGCATCACGACGCGTTCATTGTTGTAGTTAGCGAGTTAACAAACGACGGTAATGTATCAATCCACTTTACGGCGCCGGCACTCGGAATAAAACAAATATTTGTAAAATAAAAAAGCATTGTCGATCAAATTCGCTAGATTATAATAATGTGGCAATCACTTTCCCTTGTTCCAAAATTAAAGGAAAAATACGTATGCTTAAATAATTAATTTAAGAAAAATGATCGACCAAAATGTTTGCGAGAATCTAATAACCAGAGAATAAATAATCGAGAGAGCAGTACCTTATTTAATCGAAATTAATACTAGCATTAGCCGTGTATTGGTAAAAGCTACACACGAACGCACGACGACGTACCGACCCCTGCAGGAAATTATTGATAATCGCATCAATATCCGCGCGATTGTCAGGCACAGCGTACCAATAATTTATGCACAATTGGACGTGGGTATCGATACCGTGCAAGCAACCTGCAACACATGTCGCTCTATTAATAACACTGCAACCGGTGCTATAGATGCCTCACTAATTCATCGGAAAGGGTATCACCCGTCAGCTTTAGATGTCTCACGTTATTCTCTTCTTTCATGCGGACAACAAACGACTGAACGACAAACTCCACCTTTTTCGTGTACGATCTTGGGGGAAGAGGTGGGAAGAATATTACAATGGCATGGTAATCAAAGATCTTCATTTGATGCGGAATACATTCGAAGAAGGGTATAATTCTTCACGCAAAACGTTAAGAATGATATTACATGGAATTATCTACAGTGAGTCAGCCAAGGAAATTCTTGCACGAATACCCTTACATGAAAATTTAATGACTTTTTAAGCAAAATTTGTTCGAGCCGATCTAATAGGTGGAAAAAACGGTAATTACGGAAAGTGATATTTCACTTCCCCTTAAGCAAATCAATGTATTTCGTTACGCGTATACGCCATGTAAGCCCATGTTTGTGTAATTACATTTGCATTTATGAGCTCGATAGGATGCGCGGATCTTAGGATCGTAAAAAGTATTCGAAGAAGGCAAGCGTGAAAGAAAGACGAGGGAGAATGTTATGTATTGATGCAAAAATATGATAGCTCTTTATATAATTATCCATAATTTTCCAACACGCAATAATAATATACGTGGTACTGGTGTACAGAGAATATCTCACAATCCTCGAGCCTTATCTTCCTCGAAGTGCCTCTGAAGGTTCTACATGTCCAATACTTTTCATAGCCGCATGTCTATCCGAATACACGAATTTTCTGTTACGGAGAAGCTGTCATCGACAGGATCGTGCGCGTTTTAAGGACCTCGAGCGACAACGAGACTCACGTTGCATTGGGGCGTGTTGTCACGGCACGCTCACGTGCAAACGCGTGGCCCCGCGCGCTCTCGCACGCCGAGGATAAATCAAAAGTATGAAATGCGCCCGGCAGAATTTCGGTATATTTATGGCGGGGGGCAATTCAATGATACACATTCCCGGTCGCGCGTAATAGTCAATATTTCCATCAGAAGCACACCTACAACTCACGCCTACGCTGACAAACCGCGCGGCCAACGGTGCTTTATGAGAGTTCAGGGCGCATTTGACAGCGCGATGCGCCGAGCCAGTTGTTGCCATTTATTCGCGCATTACATTACTCTGTTACCGAGTCGAGTGTCACCAGCTAATTTGCATTATAAGTGCCGCTGATGTTATCATCGCTTCGCTTATACGTTATGGCGCCGCTGACGGATCGTCAACGGCGGCCGCGCGATCGTTCATGTATACGTTAGTGCATATGATGCTGGCCGCGCGCGAGTGCATCCCGCGGTACACCCTGTGCAACCTCCCCCCCCTCCGGATCCCCGGTCACCCCCACCTCCCCGATGATCATCGCAAAAGCGACCTGGCCAGCGATAATCGCGTCCGATTCGCGCCTATCGAGCTGTTGACGGCCGTCCGCAACGCTATGCGCGATATCGCGACCCCGCATGAAAATAATTATTGCATTTTAATTGTGAGGACGCGGGAGAATTGCATCGACCAGCGGTCAGGCTTAAGCAATTAATTAGAGTCGGATATTAATAGATAACGCGCGTTTAGATGCGGAATTCAAATGGTATGATGATTAATGACGTGTTAGCAGGAAATGAAACTC